TGAATGTCTATGAAGAAAAAAATGGCACACAATTTTCTCCAAAACTTTTACTTTGGAATGCCGTTTTTGTGAAGCATGTCTCAGAAATGGAGTCTGGAGGAAACCACTTTAGTGAAAGGAATTGCCAAACCTGTGATAAAAAATGTACACAGTTCTAAATCAGATGCGCCCCCTCCAACAATACAACTCAACCGCGGTTAAGCTTCTTGGAAGTACAACTTACTGTTTTTGAGAGTTTTCCACCTTAGATACTAGATTGAATTATTTTTTCCATGCAGGGCTTTTATTTCTTTCAGCAGCCTATGTTTCTCTTCTACATATGTTTTACTAGTTGAAGCCTTCAGAAATAATGGCACTTGCAATGCCCAGCTGGTCCCCACAGTGAGAGTGAAAATTATGGTATCTACTGATGTGAGGTAAAAAAAAAAAAAAGTGATATAAATAATTTTGCAGGATAGTATTCTAACTATATTTTTGAAACTGTGGTTGATTCCCTGTGTAGTTCTAAATCAACCACTTAACTATTTAGCAATCTAGCAAGGTAGGGAATACATAAGTTCACATTTGGATAATGACATTTATAACAGCATTAATACATTTTCTTAGACATCCCCAGTTTGGGGATCTTCTTTGCTAGACATATCTACTCTACATAATAATGTTTATTCTATATAAAGTGTATTATATATAATATACACCTTTTTATTAGCTTTCTTAACTACATCTGATTTTTCTAAAAGTTATTGTATGTAACTTGATGTTCCCAACTCAGGAAAAAAATTCCAAGCTACTAAGAAAATTGAACCAGCTGTAATAAGAATGTAACAGGAGTACAAAACAATGTATTATTTTGAAATTTTCACTTATAACAAGATTATCTTAAAGCACTCATAAGTTAGAGTTTTATTAAAAGCAAATGGAAAGTGTGCGTAGTAAAGGACATGAAGGATACACGTTTGAGGTGGAATAAATATTTTATGGTTACACATGCATAAAAGCACAAAATGAACATTTGTCCACAGCAAATTCAGAAAACTGATGCATTAGCAGAAAGTCATTACAGGAGTCCCCCTCCATGGCCCACGCTAAGGTAGCAAAGTCTTCCCCCAAGAGGCACTCAGACTCACAGCTCAGCCTCTGACTTCGTCCTACTTAAACTCAGTCTTGGTTCCCTCCCCTAGATTTGGCCCTATCTGGATTCTAAGACCAGATCAATAAACAATAAACTAATAATATACCTAATAAACTAAACAATAAAAGTAAAAGGAGTTCTGGGAGAAACAGTAAATAGTCTAGCCCCGATTCAACCTTCTTGTTCTCCCCTAATAGTCTGAATTCCACTAGCTGTATCTTTCTAGTATAACAATAATCACATGTAGAACTGAGTTACCCCTTCACCCATCCAAGTTCCTGCCAAGATATAGACCTCTCCCAGCTTCCACCCCCATAACTTCCTGTCAGCCATAACTGCCCCTTTAATAATCATCTCTTGGACCTCCTTTATTTCTATTCTCACCTCTGAGGGTATGACTCGGTTTTGTCTCCCAGCTATCCTAAACCTCACTGTCCCTGCACCAACTGAAATTACAGCCGTAATTAAATAGGTAAAGATATCTTCAATCCTCAATCCATTTTTACATCATCCCTTTCCCCTTTCAGACTCCTTGGACTCCAGGTCCTAATATTCTAATACCTTCTTGACCAAGACAACCTATATAGGCCATTCACCTTCATACTTTCAATACTTTCTTGCTTTTGATTCTGCTTTAGGCCTACAACCTCTAAGCCCTGTTCTCTGTTAGAGAAATTTTATCAATTTAGACTTGATATAAATGGGCAAAGTTGTTAAAGCCACTTTCACCTACAAGGTAATCAATTGATTACTGTTATCTTTCTTTATATTTGTCTTTAACAAGTGTGTGGTGGAGTCAATGAAGAAGTTGGTATCATCAAAAGATACTCATTTAAACCCCCAAAAGAAAAATCTGTATCTCCTTCATTGTGAAATTTACCAATGACTTTTGGGAGAGGCGTAAGAGAGATCTTAAATGGAGGTAAATGGGTATGATAAAGAGAAGCCAAAGCCCATGTCATTTGTCCCTACTACAGATAGGAAGATGCCTACATCATTCAACAGGTTTTTGGTAAATGAAGTAGCCAAGTGGCATAGCTTCTTACATTCCAAAGAAAATTTTCATTTGATGTCTAGGATAATTCACTGATAATCTAAAATTATGAGAATCTCTTCCAGAAATGTAGCCATGCCAACAATGCTCATAGGTACAAACTCTCTCCATTTAAAGCAGAAGAAAAAGGAGAATGGGAGGAAGAATATCTTGAATATTCCATTTAAATTTAGGAGTCACTTTGCCCACGATAAATCTACTATTACCAGGCTATCAATCACAATTCTACAGTGAAAAATGAAAATTCAGACCCTCTTATGTTGGATTATATAATCACGTGGAGGGTGGCAGGGTCAGCCCAGGAGCCATAACAGACACTCTGGCAATAATGCTTCCACAGGAGCTAGATCCAGACTACTTGGGTTTGAACTTCAGCTCTGCATGCCGTTGGCCATGTCACCACTCAATGCCTCAATCGTCTCATTTGTTCAATAGGCATAATAATAGAAGCTACTTCATGAGGTTGTTAGATGATTAAATGAGACAATAAAAATTGCTTAGAACAATAGCTGATTGTTATTGATATTGGTCAGACCAAGTACATTTTGCTGACCACAAGACATGCCATGAACTTGTGCTGTGGGCAGAACATGTAGCTTTGGCCCTTCTCGGTCACTTTCAGGAGAGGAAAGTCATGTCTTCTTAGTCATCAACATAGTTCTTCAGAGATTCAGGTTTGTAAGGGAAAAGAAATACAGTAGTCCCTTTTTATCTGCGGTTTTGCTTCCCACTGTTTCAGTTACCCAAGGCCATCCCAGTCTGAAAATATGAAATGGAAAGTTCCAGAATTAAACAATCCATAAGTTTTCAATGGCATGCTGTTCTGAGTAGTGTGATGAACTCTGTGGCCCAGCCGTGAATCTTCCCTTTGTCCAGTGTCTCCATACTGTCTACATTCTGTCTACACCCATTAGTCACTTAGTAGCACCCTCAGCTATGGGATTAACTGTCATGGTGCCACAGTACTTGTGTTCAAGGAACCCTTCTTTTACTTCACAATGGCCCCAAAGTACAAGAGTAGTGATGCTGGCAATTCAGATATGCCACAGAGAAGCTATGAAGAACTTCCTTTACATGAAAAGGTGAAAGTTCTCGACTTAGTAAAAAAATAACAAAGATGCTGAGATTGCTAAGATCAACGGGAAGAACAAATCTATTCACAAAATTGTGAAAAAGGAAAGAGAGCCCGGGCATGGGTGACTCAAGCCTGTAATCCCAGCACTTTGAGAGGCTGTGATGAGAGCATTGCCTGAACCCACAGGTTTGAGACCAGTCTGGGCAACTTGGCAAGACCTCATCTCTACAACAAATTAAAAAATTAGTCAGATGTGGTAGCATGCACTTGTAGTTCCGGCTACTTGGAACGCTGAGGTAGAAGAATGGCCTGAGCCCAGCAGGTCAATGCTGGGGTGACTATGAGCGTGCCACTGCACTCCGGCCTGGGTGACAAAGTGAGACTCTAACTCAAAAAAAAAAAAAAAAAAAGGGAAAGAGAAATTTGTGCTGGTTTTGCTGTTGTTCCGCAACCTGCAAAAGTTATAGCCACAGTGTGTGATAAGTGTTTGGCTAAGTTGGAAAAAGCATTAAATCTGTGGGTGGAAACATGAACAGAAACATGTTCTGAATAGCTGCAGTTGGGTTCAGTACTATTTGTGTCCACTGGGGGTTATGAAATGTATCCCCAAGGATAAGGGGGGACAAATGCACTGCAAGTCTTTCCGCTTCTGTGACTCAGAACAATGGAGGCCCACCCAAGTCAAACAAAAAGAGTCCTCTGAAGTCCAACCAACTTAACAAATGTTCCAGAGACCCCCATTGTCTCGTAATAAAGCATTCCTTTGCCTGGTTCTGTTATCTACACTCTTATATCACTTGGGTCAGGATGTCTGGTAGAGTGAAGAGTTTAGAACTTTTTAGCACCCTCTTCTTCCATATGCTGTCCTTATTTCCTTAACATCACTAAAATCTCACTCTTCTAAGTTTGAATATAAAACCAAGTAGGCTTCCGTTGTAAGAATAGCATTCTTTTTTTAAGTCTTTGTTTTTAGGATGGGGCTTTATCTTCTTTTTAGGAGTCCCGTGTTGAAACAGGCAAGGTACTGCCATTATTAAAACCAAACCCTAATGTCTCCTTGGTATTCCAGCTCTCCATACAATCCTCATACAAGCAAACAAGTATTTGATTCCAATGGGACACTTTTCTGGTGCAAATGCTACAGGATTCTGCATTTTATTACAGCATAAGCTAAATTGGTTGTCCAAATGAATGCCCACTTAGAATGTTGCCATATATCTAAATGTCTCAGAAACTATCTCTTCTACAGAACGTATTCCGGTTAGTGTTTACCAGGAACAATTTACTCACTTCGAATCATTAAAAACTTAAATTTTCTCAGTCCTTATGTCTACCTTCAATTATTAGTTATGCATGTATCATTCTGTTTATTTTGTTTACGTTTGTATATATTGTGTGCACGTCTCTCATTGACTGTAAGCATTTCAGAGTTGAATCTTGTTAACTCCACAGTCATTTTTGCTGATTAATATATTTATTCACTCATTTCACAAATATTTATTGGGTATCCATGATTTCCAGGTATTATGGGGGTCAAAAGTTGGACAAGACAATGTAGCCTTTCCCCAAAAATCATAGGTTCTATTTCCATATGGTAATGTGTGGGGGGTAGAATATTAAATACTGTTTTAATATAGTTGTTTTTCCTGAATAAGAAATTTTTTTATAATTATAAAGTAACCACAATTTCACTTCAAGAGCCAATGGAATCTCTTTTTCCTTTTTCTCTCTCTCCATAGGATAGTGGCCAAAGCCTCCAAGAACCTCATGTCCACACAAAGCTTAGGGATTGTATTTGGACCCACCCTTCTGCGAGCTGAAAATGAAACGGGAAGCATGGCTGTACACATGGTCTACCAAAACCAGATCGCTGAGCTCATGCTGAGTGAGTACAGTAAGATCTTCGGCTCGGAGAAAGACTGACAGATAAGACAAGTTACTGAATATGTTCACATCTGTCTGGATGCCTAATATTTTCACATTTCTGTAAACATATTTCTGAAATATTTTTTTTCCTTTCAAGCGACAGATGCCTCATTTTGTGAAAACTTCATGATGATTTTTGTGTTTAAGTTCCAAACATTTGAATAAAATAATTGACAATATTTGTTATAAGTGCTCTACATTAACCCCTTTGGTGCTGTTCCTCCTAACACTTCTGGGAGCACATCACGCATACCTCATGCTATTGAATAATGTGCGGAGTACAGCACATACCTAAAAGTTGCTTAATGCTGCTCCAGGGCATCGGGTGTGTGGTTGTGTCCATGTATGTGTGAGTGTGAGTGGTTGAGAATATGGGTATGTGTGCACACGTGTGCCTTCTCAATATCCAGTCTGCCTTGGTCATGTCTTCATACTCCTACTTGTATACAGACCGAGGTGGGAAGAAAGAAGCTAATAATTTTAAAACAGAATTAAAGGGATTAGGTTCCCAACCAAAACAGACATATTTTATCTTTCCAGAACATGTTTGTATATATAAATATAGCCCAGCTATTCTCAGAGCTATACAGTGAAATTTATAAATACAGCATGTTGAATGGCAATTTTTCTGAAGAAAAATGACAGTCCAAAGCATTTGCCATTGGATAGTTTTTATAAATACTATTTGCAGTACCATAAACATACTATCTTATAAATTAGAAGCAAAATTAGTGCCCTGCAATTTTGATCTTTATATTACACAGGAATTGCTTGACTGCTCATTTTTAATGTTAACATCCATTTTGAATCTTCGTCAAACTGTATATCCTCCTTTTCCCCAGCTATGTCATTTTATGTCGAATTTTTATTATGCTTCTGAGGATGCTTTATTGGTGAATTATATTAAATCCATCTAGAAAGAACTTTTTTTAAAGCCTTTTTTTCATATGCCCTAAGGATTACTTGACTAGACTAGGATTGCTTTATCCATTTGATGGTTAGTTTCAGTTGTCATGGATAAACAAAAGGGTAACTGTCTAGAATATATCAAACATTGTTTTATTTTGAAAAGCATGTTCTAGTTGAACACATCTCATACTGGTTTTACGAAAGTATTCTGCTGATAAAAATGTAGACTTTATGTTTGACAGCTTTTTAATCAAATTCAAATGGAATAAATAAAACTAATCCAGTGCGATAAAGAGTAAGTCTAGTTATCGATTTGTTCATAAAATGAAAAATAAAGCATGTAAATAAAACGCGTGAAGCATGGATCCAAGAGCAAACACTTAGCGCAGTAATGAGCTCAGAGTCATAGGCTGTCTGCATAGATGGAGTACACAAGAGAGGGAGAGAGTCCGCTCAAGTGATAGCCAGATGTGCTTGCAGCTCCTGCGTCCACAGAGCCTCCTGAGGAAGGAGAGGGCTCCCTTGCCCCTCTTGAATGTCTTCATTTTAATAATGGCGCCAGTATATGGGCTCATGGCCAAGAACAGTGAAGCAACCACAATAAATGCTAAAGTGTGGTTTCATCAAGTGGGATATGTACACATACCACAAAGCCAAGAAGAGTCACATGAGGCAGAACCCCATGATCTAAAGTCACCAGTAGCAGTGAACTGACAGACTTGCTAGCTTTAAGTGATTCTTGTACATAAAATTGTGGTTATGCCTTTTCAGAAAAAACATAGAGAAGCGAAATGAGAGTTTCTGGCATTCTATTTCAAGTTCTTCTCATTTCCATGCCATTCCACATTCTCTGTTAGGTCTTCCCCAATACTTTAATTACTTCTCTTTTAAAGGGAGGAGGAGTAGATTTAGTAGTTCTAGCTTTAAAATCTGAGCTCTTCATCCGTGTCTGCCTTAAAAGTTATTCTGGAAGCATCAGCCAGAGAGAAGCAGCACTAAAAGCCAAAGGGAAGTGGCACTACCTGCTTAGACCAGGGACTCACAGCCCCTTGTCTCTGCTGCTTTCCAGATTTATAATCTTCAAAAGCACCGGCTTCTTGATTTCCAATCTGATGGGATTTAGCCTGATTCAAACCCCAGCTGTGTCCTGTCCCTGCCTGCTAAGGGCATTTAATCAGAGAATGTGCTTCTTCTCTGGGAAAAGGCCATTCCAAGGTGCTGAGCCAAAGTGCCCATCATAGGGTCTGACTTGTACACACTAAAGGCATAAACAGGTTACACGAAAAGGTCATTAGATTCCATAATATCTCAAAGACAGCAACGATGGTCATATCAACTATTCCAAGTTTAAAGTCAAGATTGAAAGTACACTAGGTTGACTCACTGAGAGATTCGATTTTATAAAACTGATCAATATCCTCCATCAAGAAGTCATGAAAAGTCAATGAGTATTTCTTAATCACCTAGTCTGAGGCAAACAAAATTCTAGGCACTAGTGATACAAATACAAAATAGAAGAAATAATCCTACCCTCTGTAGTTTCACGGTCCAGTGAGGGAGACAATTGGCTAAAGATTAGTTACAGTTTAATACAAGATCAAGAACCTTGGTAAGCACGTAGCCCCAGGATTTAGCACCTATACATAGAGATACTCAAAAGGTATTTTTAATGAATGGGCAAACAGAACAGAAACTACTACAGAGATATTAACAAAGCCCAATGTTTGACAGAGAACCAAATAACCAGTCTTACTTGGGAGACTCAGATGAGGCTTCTCTGGAGAAGTAGACATTTTCAATCTAATCCTGACCTAGTAGTAAGAGCCACCAAACAAATAAAAATGCAAAAGGCACACAAGGAAGCAGAAATGGCATGAACAGAGTTCCTGACACCTCCAAGGGAAAGCGAGAAGCTCAGTGAATAGAGGAGGAAGTGTATGCTTGGCAGTTTTGAAATGTGGCGCTGGAGAAAGATATCAGACATAGGCCATGATAAAATATTCAGATTTTATCCTGTAGGCAAAAGAAATTCAACGGAGGTTGTAGATTAAGAAACTTTAGCTTCCTAGAGAGAGAATATCTGCATTCGCCAGTGGGCAGGAGTTTGAGGAGACCAGCATTTTCCAGTGTAAGTGTTTGTGTGTTTGTATAATTTTTAACACTTTCTATGAATACAATTATAATTTCATGTTTCTAGGGGCATTTCTATATTATGATGAGTAAACATTTTAAGAAGTGATAACCTAGTCTGTAGAATGGAAACACAAATCCTTGAACAATCAAGCTAGTTAGTATGTCCCATTTACCTACCCAGGATACCCAGGTTGCCACTCTTGGAGATGGTACGTATTCCATCTTATATGTTGACAGGCTGACTTTACTTAGCATGTGCCATATGACAGGCTCACCATGCCACAGCTATTAATTGAAAGCCATATGATGGTTCTCCCTATCCAATTAGAAAACAAAAGATCCAATTAAGTAAAATTTAAAAAGCTGTTAAAAGGAAGCAATCACTTGCCAATGGTGCTGTCCTTACAGTTTAACACAGCTAGAAATTGACCTGTACTTCTCTTTTCCACATTTATGTTTGTGAATTATAAGTTAATCACCCTGTCAATTCCTAATTAAAAGGCCCTGCAAAGGTTTTCATCCAAAAGAACTGTCACTAAGCGTTCTGGGTCAAATTGCTCTGTTGTTAAAAATGAGGAAAAAACCCAAAACAGTACCAACTTTCTTCTGGAAACTCAAATCTTAATACTAAAAAGGTATTCTTTATATTTCTTAAAATATAATAATCACATTTTATTTCTACTAAAACGCTTCCCCTTTAGAATGCAGATGGATCTTTTTTCTCTCTATTTAAACCAAGGGTTGCAAACTTAGGATCCCAGCAGGGCCAGGTGGGACGATAAGACAGTAAAGAGGAGCAGGCCACAGGCATTATGAAGTAGTAGCAGCTGGGGAAAAGTCAAGCTCAATGCCTGGCCAAAAGGGTCGGCTTCTACTCAGCTGGAACTGATGTCGCTTATGTGGGAATGTGGCACAATGTTGCCAGATCTTCAGATCTTTCATGGAAAGCCAGAAATTCAGAATCTTATGTGAAGTCTGATTTTTAAAGGAACTAAATAAAACACATTTGAGCAAACTCAGCCCAAGGGCTTCAGCGCACAAAGCTTGCTCCCCCAGAAAATGGTTGCACACAGAGCAAGTTGCGGAAATGAGTGAATGAGCCAGAGCAACCTGCAACAGCAGAAATAAGCAGACTTAGCATGTAGGAGAACTTGCTGTGTAGACCTTGGACAAATTAGTTGCTCTATCTGGTTCTCAATTTTTTGATCTACCAAATAAAGGCTGTCTTCAGCTTATGATGGTTCAATTAGTGGTTTTTCAAACTTATATTGGAGCGAACCCAATACACATTCAGTAGAAACAATATTTCCAGTTTTGAATTTTGATCTTTTCTTGGGCTAGCAATAGGCATTACAATACTCTCTCCTGACACTGGGCAGTACCAACAAGTTTTACCTCCCAGTCAGCCACATAATCACAAGGGAAAACAACAATGGATTGTGTTACCAGATGGTTTTGCCCAAATGTAGGTTAACACAAGTGTTCTGAGAATGTTTAAGGTAGGCTAAGCTAAGCTATGATGTTCCATGGTTAGGTATATTCAATGCATTTTTGACTTACAATACTTTCAACTTATTATGGGTTTATTGGAACATTATTCCATTATAGTCAAGGAGCATCTATAGAATAACACTTGTATTATTGGCTTTTGGGACTATCTAATAGAATCCTATGAAGGAAATTAAAACAGATACTACACCATGAAATTATCAGTTGTCACTAAAGGATTTGGATGACAGATCTCCAGCTTATTGACTAACAATAACTCTATGTTCTGAAGGCCATGAGAAGGGAGGTTGGGATCAGACTACAAAAAATTTTGAATGCCATGCCAAGATGTATTATCCTCAGTCCCTAGACAACTTTGAGACCCTGAAGGTTTTGTTTGTTTGTTTGTTTTAGCAGGGAAATAACTTTATCAAAGCTGTAAAGATTTTCATGGCAACATTATGGAGTGGAGTTTGAAGCAGAAAGAAATTATAGGGTACAATTGCTGGAGAGAAGATTATTGCTACAGGACTGTTAATGCAGGTCTAAATTCAGACAGTGGCAGCAGATAGAGAACTTGATATTACAGATCATCATCCTACTGAGCTTCCTGGGGGCTTTACCCACCACCTCCTAATTATGACTGCTA